AATATCATGTTTTAATTAAGTTGTTATTTTTTAATACATTTTTTTACTGTATGTGTATGTTAAAAGTACCATTCCGACAGCAAGAATGATCCTGAACTAAATGAAGATTAATGTCTTGGGTATGATGTGTTTATTGGACCAATCAGATAAGAGTAAATGGAGAGTCAGCGAGAAGCTCATTTGATTGGCTACAAGAAGAAGGTGGCCTGCACTGTCACCGTTAGTTTTATTTTTCTTTTGGTTTTCATTTTTTAAAAACTTATCTTTGCTGTTTAGCAACCTTAAGCTATGGAGGCTTTCATTTATTTATTTGATTCCTCAGTGTTTGCTAAACGTTCTGTCATTTATTAGTCGGTAGCCTATATAATACAGCATGTGGTGTGTGCCATGCCTCATTTTATTCGTTTTTGTTAAACGTTTTGTAATCTAGTTTGTCATTGTATCTTACTGATTTATTGTTGTTGTGCTTTTTGATTAAGAATAACAATGCATCTATCTTTTGTTTTAGTCTTAAAAAATGAAAGGTGCGTAGATGTATGTAAGCAAAACAGTGACAACAAGATCGCGAATTCGAAAGTGAAAGCATCCGAAGCCTGCGGCTTAACACAGCAAAAGAGAAAGTCCCGTTCACAAAATTCAAATCACAAATAATACTACTGATGATAAAGAACGGGTTGAATGTTAACAACTGTCGTTTCCATATAACTATAAACTATGATATAAATTGATCAGCATGCACTGAATAATCCCATGTTGTAGCGCAAAAAAAAAAAAAGAAATTTTTTAAATATTGCGACCAAATCATGTGCTCGTGCGACCAGCTGAGGAAGTTAGTTGCAAAAGAGCGACCAGTGGGAAGAATGAGTCTGGAGCCCTGATATGCATTATACAGAGGCAAGATGAAAGAACAAATACCATCGAAAGACCGTAAGTTCCCCTCAGACATACATTCATATAAACTCTTACCCCTAACTGAATCGCGATTTGTTTAGCATCTCAACCGATTTGAATCGTCACATATTGAAATCGATTTTCAACCGGCTAGCGGTTAATCGTTACATCCTTACAAACCATGCAAGGTTATTTGAAATAAAATAAATAAATGTTAAAAATACTTAAACTAAAAAAACTAAAGCGTATTTTATTATATCTAGTTAACCAAGGCAGCATTCACTTTAATTTAGTGTAACTTGATGTGATAAAATAAGTAAAACTGAAAAAAAAAAAAATAAATATATATATATAACTACAATTATTTTAAAAAACTAATAAAAATGAAAAAAAATAAAACTTTAAAATGAAAAAATAAAACTTTAAATTTGTAAAAACTTTAAAATATAAATTTAAAATATAAATTTAAAATATAAAAATAAAAACTAATTTAAAATATTAATAATATCTATAATAGGGTCTCAGTAATAGCAAAATAACTCTGGTGATATTGTATTTCTTAATAAATCAGCTGTGATTTCTGATGGATAGCTCTGACCCATGAGACTTGCTCTGAGGTGATGTCATCTGGCTGTTTTCCATGTCATGTGGACATTCATAGTGCCTCATCAGACAATAATGGATCTCAATATGTAATTTCTGTACCTTTAGAGGCACCAGACAGACCTGCAAAAATAAAGATTGTTTTAACGCAGGTTAGCACTTTTTTTGAAGTGATGCGCTCTTAGGAGCATTAAATGTTATATCTTACAGCTACGAACCAGTTAACCAATTAAAAAGATAATTACATTTCACATTTATTAAATAGAATCAATGAAAATAATACCCCCAAATGAAAAGTCCTTTATTCCAGAATTGTTAATTATTATGTACTGGTTAATTATACAATGAATAAAATGTAAGTATTTGTCATATAATTCATATAAATGACATGTTGTTTATTATATAATTAATTCTATATTTTACTAAATTATGTAAACTGAAAATTTTAATTTTAACATTGAAAAACTTACCATCACTTTATCTTCATTAAAAGGCGTAGTGACAAAGAGAAAGGTTCTGTCCCAAATGATGGCCTCTGCAGTCACACTTGGATCACTCTTCACTCACAGCGGATATTACTAAACAGTCTATTATGCAATACGTCACAACTGCATGAACTGCTAAGGCTGCCAATTTCAGACAGGGCCATATAGAAACTGATGGAGATGTAGGAGGAAGGAAATTAAAAGGAGTGCTGCTTTTGTGACCCTGTCTGTGAAATCCAGGCTAAAGTCTCAAAATCTAATTATGAGATAACAAGCATCAAAGTTTGATTTCAATCATTAATTTCACAATGATTTCAATCTTTGACATGGCCTTACTCAGTCAATATTAAAGATATAAAGGTTATATTTTCACAGAATGTTCTACATCTTTACGAAGGATGATTTTATGTAGAAAACAGTAAATCACAAAAAATGACTTTAGCTGGGTTTTCACTGGCAGGGTCACGACTACAGAGGATAACTTTGTACGGGAGACAGAGTTGTGCTCTGTAAATGTCAACACATGATCTTTGACCCCACTATTACATACTGAGGTCTCTGAAGCATTCTCTGTCAATCACCAAAGGAATGTCACACACACACACACAAAAATCCATATACTACTGGGTTGTAGTGCATATAAACAAATAATTTTTATTTTACTATCTTTAAGATGTGTGCTGTCCATATCAGCTCATTTCATTCTTGCTGAGTGCTAATGCAGAGCAGTTCTACTAAAACAATCGCTCTGGATCTGACTGGTGGTGTGTTCTGGTCCCTGTCTTGTTTTGATTCAGTTTTAAAGGGAAAGTTGCCTCTTTTTATTTCACTGTTTCTTCTGAACTGGTTTTAACCCCTCAGACAGCCTGTACTGTATAACACATGACAGTAGTCATGAGCTGTTTGTTTGGGTTCAGTGGGAGTCATGAGAATCTGTTAGCGGGTGTGTTTGTGTGTTGTCTATTGGCGCTTTTCCACTGAGTGGTACAACTCGGCTCGGCACGGTTCGGCTCGGCACGGTTTGCGTTTCCACTGCAGTTCAGTACCGCTTTAGAGTGGGCGGGATTATTCACATGTGGTTATAGTTGCGCCGCCTCTACTACCACGACTCCTAAAAAAAATGTTTTCATTCCGCGTCGCCCCATCAAGCTCTCGCTGCATCCGCTCCTCTGCTATCAACGAGAGGAACGTCTGTACTTCCGCAACGGACAACAAAACTTTTTGGTTGTTAAAAAAAGGTGCACTCGTTCAAAACAGTTGCGTTCGATCCTTCGCTGGCTGTGCTGATTTAAATCTAGCGGTTCTTTTGTGTTTGTGTCGCAAGTTCAGTGACGCAGCTAGTGACGATTCTCTCCGGCCAATCCGTGATCAGCAGAGTTTACATGTCACATTTTGGTAATGGTACGGTTCACTTGGAACCCCAACCGAAGTGGTACTAAAAAAAGTACCAGGTACTAGGTACTGTACCACCGAGCCGTACTGTGCCGTACCATGCAGTGGAAAAGCGCCATATCAGCCTAGAGGCATCTATAGAAGAGGGAGGATCCTAGAAGAGATTGTCTGTCTGGATGCCACACTACTCCTGTGATCTTTCTAAACAAGGCAACTCCATGCTCATATTACACATGCACACAAAAGGACTCTTAATCTGGGTTTCATATACAACAAAAAGTAGTCTGAGATTGGAAGTGTTTTGAAAAACATAAATAACTTACAGTATAACTTGGGTGGGTAGCTCAAAAATGTGCCACATTAGCTTTAATATATTTTTTATAGGTGTTTGTTTTTCGATCAGAGGAACTATTATTTCCATATAAGATTTAAAATGTTTGCTACATGAAAAATCTAGTGAATAAATAGTCAAGGCATGTTTTTCATATAATTTTATATATACTACTAAATGAACACAAAGAAAAATGATATTTAATAATTTTCCTTTACAACACACACACACACACACACACACACACACACACACACACACAAACAAACAAAAGGACTCTTAATCTGGGTTTCATTCTAGATTACACACCAAAACGTAGTCTGAGATGGGAAGTGTTTTGAAAAACCTAAATAACTTAGTGTAAGTTATTTTAGTGGGTCGCTCAAAAATGTGCATTTTTTTTAACCTTTTAGCTTTGATATTTAATATTTATAGGTGTTTGTTTTTCAATTAGAGGAAGCATTTATTTCCACTAAAAATATTTAAATTGTTAACTACATGAAAAGAAAAATCTAGATAAATAATCAAGGCATGTTTTTCACACATTGATTGATTTATTTATTTATTCGTACATACTAAATGAACACAAAGAAAAATGATATTTAATCCTTTTCCTTTATATGTGCTCATCTACATTACTATTCAAACGTTTGGACTCAGTAAGATTTTTTTCTTTTTCAGCATGGATGCATCAAATTGATCAAAAGTGATACAACAAAACTTCTTGTAAAAACAAAGTTTTTTCTTCTTTTGAACATTTATAGACAAAGTATCTTTAACTGCCATATATATTGCAATCCGCAGAAAAAAAAAGTTTTTTAACTTAATGGAGAAATAAAAGATGCATTAAACTCTATTCAATTTTCATGATGTTTCTTAATTTTATATTGCCTTCAAAATCATTGGAAATATATTGAATTATGAAATATATCGCCCACTCCCACTGTGGACTCCCTAACATACTCCTACTACCCGATTTCATGAGAGCAAAGGGTTATCGACAGTCTTTTTCCTTGCTCTTTCTTGCACCTGGTTCTGTGCAGCTGGGCTTCATGTTTGGAGGCACCAGGAACACAATGGCTGTTTCAGACTCACAGCATGTGGATCATTTCTCACTGTGTGTTACTCTGAGGCTGCTGCAGTGAAGAGCCGTCTGACAAATTATTATGAGTGTTATCCAGCCGCCTATCCAGCCCTCGATCATTCCCGCCAAAACCAAGTCCAATTATCCAGTAAAATAGCCATCATTGCTATCACATATGTAATTTTTTTGTCTCTTTTCCCTTTTTTTTTTACAGTATGTCTGGCTTCAGTCATGGTCAAGGTGACCCCAGAGGTGGAAGTGATTAAAGGAGAAACCGCCAAACTACCTTGCAGCTACGCCACCTCTGCACCGGCCTCTCCCATTGTGGTCCACTGGCTCATTGTAAGCACATGGATGACTTCATATTATGAGAATATACCACTTTTTTAATTTGATATCTTTTTTTCTTGTTTTGCATTTCTTCATGTAAAATGCTATACTACATTGATGTACAGGTGCATCTCAATAAATTAGAATGTCGTGGAAAAGTTCATTTATTTCAGTAATTCAACTCAAATTGTGAAACTCGTGTATTAAATAAATTCAATGCACACAGACTGAAGTAGTTTAAGTCTTTGGTTCTTTTAATTGTGATGATTTTGGCTCACATTTAACAAAAACCCACCAATTCACTATCTCAACAAATTAGAATACTTCAAAGACCAATAAAAAACAATTTTTAGTGAATTGTTGGCCTTCTGGAAAGTATGTTCATTTACTGTACATGTACTCAATACTTGGTAGGGGCTTAATACACGAGTTTCACAATTTGAGTTGAATTACTGAAATAAATGAACTTTTCCACGACATTCTAATTTATTGAGATGCACCTGTATATGTGTTTCCATCATCCTCAGGAGGTTGCAGGTGCAAGAAAGCAAATTGCTTACAAGTCTTCCCAAGGTTTTGGCGTTGATGCAGGCACAGGAATGACAGATCGCTTAACCATGGGAGAGGACTTGTCCCTCACCATCTCCCCAGTCATGGTGGAAGATGAGAGAACCTACTTCTGCCAAGTGACCGCAGGACCTTTAGGGTTTTCTGATAATAAGACCCAGGTCAAGGTTTTCTGTAAGTCTGACTGAAAATGAATACATATCATATTTCTTCCATCCTTGTTAGCTTAGCATGTTTCGTCTGACCATTTTGTCTACTCCATAAGCTAAATGGGACATATGGCCAGCCACTTTTACCCCTATTCATTAGTCTTGGGTGTTGTTTATGAGTTTGCCCTGGGTCAATTACGGCCGTACAGATTGCATTTGACACTATTGATTAATAGAGTGATTGCACTTGTCATGTTTGATGGATGTCATTTTAAGGGTTATGAGAGCCAAGGAGCTCAATGTGCAATTAAGCAGTACACTAATGACCACTGGCCTGAGAGCAGAGCTTATTTATATATTTGTTTATATATATTTTATTTTTTTTTGTTGGGGGGGGCTGTAACTGGGAATCTGCAGACAACTGTGAAATTCACAGTAAAAAACATTTTCCTAATAAGTATTTTGTTTTGTTTTCCAGTAATTTTTTTTTTTATCAGATAAATGCAGCCTTAGTGTACTTGTGTGCATGTGGTGTATATATTTATACACACATATACATGTTTACTCTAAAAGGTGGTGTAATACTGTATGTATATTATATATTACAGACACGGTGTAATACATGGTGTATTTAAATTATCATGATTTATAGAATATTTAATTTATCAAAGTTGATAGATTTTTTATTTTTATTTTGCATGTCTATGAGACCCTCCCCCAGCTCTGTGTGATGGGGTCACTGGTGAGGACACTTTATGAAAAACTAGACAACTGTTTGTGCGTAGGAGGGCGTAGGCTCCGTCGGATAGAGTGTGCGTGTATACAGACCAGAGAAAACAGCAGAACGGCTTTTTGTTCATTTTCCACCCCAGACTGCATGGAGCGAGAGAGGCAGTAATGGATGTAATAATTGTGAATGAGATCAATGGGACTGGAAAACAATGGCATCTCCTCCCTGGAGACAAATGCTCCTGCCTGCTTCATGGCTAATGGCTACACCAGAGGGACATGTCCTTATGTAGAGAGAGAAAGAGACATCCATCTCCATGCAAACACATGTCCTCTGCTGCTTTTAAAGTGTTTTTTAAACATATTTTGAAATAGATTAAGACATGAGAGAGATGCTTTGGTGACTGAAAGATCATGCGCGAAGAAGAGAGACTGAGAAACTAAAGCGCTCTAGGAAGAATGGCATGACTGCTAATGTTATTAAAAATGATTCAGTTTATTTTTGTACCAGATGACAGCTGGGAGCAGTGATACAGTGACCTTGCGTGTGAATTGGTGGGTGGGGGAGAGGTTGCAGCTCAATTTGAAAAGAGAATTGGTAGTGTCATAGTGCTAATGCATCTTAATGTTTGCTTTTTATATATATTTAGCAAATTTTTATGTTTCCATTTGCAAATTTAGGGGCAAATTCACTAAACTAAATTTTTGCACACAGTATTTCAGTGCAAAAACTTGATTCTTATTCACTAACTAGCTGCAATCCGGTTTTAGCCTTAACATTTAAATTGAGTAAATGTCATTCTTTTCAGCACAAACACACCTTTGCATGCAAATTAGGCTCATTATATTGTGCCTTATTCACTAAATTCAGCACAATTTGCATGGCACATTTAACGTTACGCTATTACCGCCTACAGACAGCAGGTGGTAAACTGGATTTTATTTAATAGAACTTTCTGTGTATATTTCTATCGATCGTGGCAGCAGTTATTCATAATATAATGATTAAATGATGAAGAGGAGCATTATAACTAGGCATCCTGGGTATAAATTCAGTGTGGTGCAGTCAAGTGATTTAAAAGAGCCAGTTATCCACTGTCATAATTCTTTCAGTGAATTCCCCCTCAATGTGTTCATATTTATATGGCCAATTGCAGTGGGTGTATGCATGCAATATTTTTAGGAAACATCTCTGGCTCGATTTAAATTATTAATGAACTTCTCTTTTCCTATCACAGTTGCTCCGGAGAAGCCAATGATCACAGGAAATAATCAGGCTATCACTGTCAGTCATGACACTTCAACCTCCTCTGAAGTGAGTCTCACATAGATGTTTATAGCTGTCTATGATCACTGTGAGCCTTTAAATGTAAATTTATTTTGTGTAAGGTTACAATGACTTAAAGAAGTTTGTCTGAAATCTTGTCACATTTCTGTATGGTATGTTTGTTTAGGTGGCCAAATGCATCAGCAGGAACGCTTTTCCTCAGCCTCGTATTATCTGGTTTAAAGATGCCACCCCTCTGCCCGAAGTAAAGGACCAAAAGGAAAGTAAGTGAAAAATCAGAAAAGTGCTCAGAATTTTAAATTGTTTTATGCCTTTAAAATCCCTTTCCCGCTCATTGAAGTCTGAGAAGACCAAAAAAAATGGGGATTTAGTATATATACATATTTATTATAATTTGTAAAAAATATTTTTTAGCAAAGGTGCATTAAATTGATAAAAATTGACAGTGAAAATATTTACATTGTAACCAAAAAAATATGTTTCAAATAAACACAAAAAATCCTGGAAAGTCCCCCAAAATACTGAAGTGATTCAACTTTATTAAATACCTTTCAGAATAGATATACTGTATAATGTATTTTTTTTAATTAGCATAGTAGTATTCCAGTACTCCTCACAGACTTTTAGACATCTTAAAGTAAAGTTAATCTCTCTCTCTAATGTCTCACTCTTTCTCAGAAACTTATATGATACCTAGTGTGGTGAAGGAAGCCTCAGGCCTGTACACCATGACCAGCACGCTGTTCATGCAGCCGGTTAAAGACGATGCTAAATCAGTCTTCCACTGCACGGTGGAGTACAGCATGCCAAACAACCAGATCAAACAGGAGAGCTCCGATAAATTCAGCCTCTCGTTGCTCTGTGAGTCCGACGTGCACACACTCACAATTAAACTGTAACCCTTGCTGCGTGTCAACTGTACGCTCATTTACCTCAAACTCCTCATCCTGTGCTCTCCTCCAATCAGATTCAACAGAAAATGTGTTCTTCAAACTGAAGAAGCAGGGGCCAGTCAAAGAGGGGGATGATGTGCTGATGGAGTGTGAGACTGATGGAAACCCTCAGCCAGAGTTTGAATTTTACAAAGAGGTGAGAGACCATCTATGCCAAATCACAACCAAATAATCTAGTAGTGGTTTGTCCATATTATTTTCACTCATATTTACTTACTCACTCGTAAGGATGAAGTACTGCAAGGATCGAAAGGAACGTTAAAATTGAAGAGCGTCACTCGAAAGGATGCTGGGATGTATAAGTGTGAAGCTCTGGACTTTGACGCCTTGGATGGTGTCGAACTTACTAAAACTCTAAGCTTAAGTGTGCACTGTAAGTATCAATCCCAGACGTTATAATAAATACAATAAACTGAATGAGTTATTAAATTACACATAACTGATCCTTTGTTAACCTCTGCACTCCTTCATTACCAGTGCTAATTTAGACAAGCTTTACAGACCATCGCACTGGAATGAAAAAGAGATTTGCTTGAACAGCGTGATTAAATACTGTGGCAAAAATACTTTTTGTATTATTTATATACTATTATAGTATTTATTAATATATTAAATTATATTGTATTTTTATATATTTTTAGTTCTACTTTTAATTTTAGTATAAGTTTTAGAAATGTAGTAATTTAATTTTTTATATATGTCTGTTTAGCTATTTATTTTTATTTCAGTTTTGTAATTTTAGTACTTAAACTTATTTTATTTCACTTCACCAAGGCAACATTTCAAATTTTAGTTTACATTTTTTTATCTAGTATTTATATTTTATTTTAGCTTCATTTCGAAAATGATTTTTAATAGCTTTAGTTTAAGTTAACAATACCACCACTGCTTCTCATCATTAACTGAAAAGAGAAGAGTATCATTTGAAAGCAATTAGAAGTGAACAACTGTTCCTAATGTTTCTGTAACACATTCACTCTAGTACTGTAAACTCTTTAGTTACTTCCAACACTACAGTGACCTCAGTCAATATGTAAATTCAATTGTTAAGCTAGTAACATTACTTTTTAACTTAGGGCAACAGACAGTTAAGTTAGGATTGGTCAGTAAAGTTTTAGGGTGGGGCTTAGCGAAGGATCAGTTATTAAGTCCAGGTTCAATTGATTTTTCCAGCACCTCTTAGCTATATTCATTCTTTTGTCGCTCTGTCAGATCTTGACCCTGTGGCAGTGACTCCAGAAGGCCCATTGCTTGCTGCTAAAGGAGATACTGTGGAGCTTCAGTGTAAGACCAAGTCCTCTGATGAATACACCCTGCAGTGGAAAAAGGCACGTATCAATTTCAACAAGCCAATTTTTCCTCACTATTTTCTCTATTGTGATGTTTCTCTCTGATGTTTTTTTTTTTTGCTGAATAATGTTCTTTTAGTTCTAATGGTGCTACACTGTGTCTGCCTTTGGAGTTTTCAGTTTGTTTGTTTTGTTTTTTTCGTCATTTTGGCAGATAGTTCTCCAAAAACTGAATATTCTGCCATTATTTACTCACTTTCTTGTCAATCCAAACCCATTAACGACTTAGGTTAATCTTTGAAACACAAATTAAGACATTTTTAATGAATCCTGAGAGATTTCTGTCCCTCTATTGAAAGTCCAAGTAACCAATGTCCAATAAAGCCATAAAGTCTTTGTAAAATTAATCCAAATGAATTAAGTGGTTTAGTCTTGTGATGAGATATGATTACTTAATATGATGAACAGATTTAATTTAGACTTCTGTTCACATATAAACACATACATAGAGCATGTCACAAATGGTAAACACGAAAGATTGTGTGTTGTGCATCATGCACTAACAAACAAACCTAATTGGTTCTTGTGGATCACACACATACATTTGTGTGTGAGTTTTCATGTTTACCATACGTGACATGCTCCATGTATGCGTGTCGATCATTGTTTAGATGTAAATAAAAGCCTAAATTACATCTGTTCATCATATAAACAATTTAAACTGCTACAATGACTTCAACTTTTTGGTTACCTGGACCTTCAATGGAGGCACAGAAACCTCTCAGATTTCATAGAAAATATCTTAATTTGTGTTTCGAAGGTGAACCGAAGTACAATGGGTTTGGAATGACACAAGTGGGAGTAAATGATGACAGAATTTTCATTATTGGGTAAACTATACTTTTAAGTTTTATATGGCTGTACATCTTGTTTTTTTGGCTAATGTGTTGTACTAGATCTCATTCGACTCAGCATCTCATTTGATCTCACTGTATACCATAGGACTCAAAGGTGCTGTCACAGACGGGTGTGTTGACTCTTGAGTCAGTGACTCTGGCTAATGCTGGTGTGTATTTATGTGTCGGAGCAGTACCTTCAGTGCCAGGTCTCCAAAAACAAGCCAATGTCACCCTTACCATCACAGGTACTAAGTGCATACATAGACACACACAGTTTTATAGTGGTTTATCAGTGCAAAGTGTCAATACAAGCTGTCATCAGTATCAAGGCAGCATGCATTCAGGAGGTAGAACTAAACTATGGGCTGTCAACAAACTGTCGACGTCTGTTGTTATACCAGCTGGTTTCCGTAATGTGGATATTATGTTTAGATACAGGTGGGAGTTCAATGGCAAAAGAAAACAGTCTCAGTAAAGCGTTTGTTCTTAAAATATTCTTTTTATGCTCAAAGTAACCAATCAAGCAGAATTTTAAGTAAAAATGCAATTCAAAATCTCCATATAAAAATAATGTTAGTCTGCTCATAAACCAGCGAAATGAGTTGGGTTTCCTGGCAGTAAACAAAATGCTTACAAACTAAATGGTACTGTCAACATTCACATTTACAGCTTATTATGATCCATAACAATTTGCTTCCGCCATGCATATTTAATTTATACACCCCTAACTCAGGGTGTAAAAACAACAAAAAACAAATAAAGTCCCAGACTTTAATTAAGCCGCCGCTCATGGACGTTCAACTGTTCTGAATGAGTAAATAGTTGTAGTGAGTCTGAGCTACAGTAGCTTAGCTAGCTATTATGGGATGTTGTAGCATTGAAGCATGAAAGCCAGTAGAGATGTTTTATAATAAGAAACTACATCAAAAGGAAACAAAATGGTCCTTTTTCCAAATGCATTTTGCTTCAAATCAAATGTTGCGATTCATTTTTGAGCTGTTTCATTTGGTTGAAGGCAACTTGCTGAAATGCCAAAGGAAGATATATTTCCAAGGCCACTAACAATGTGAGAAGTTACTGTTGAACTAATTCCTATAATAAAACTCTAACATAAGCTGTTAAACACTTTGTCTGTCATACTGTCACCCTGCAGTATGAGACATATACTGTAACACTAGGCAAGGTCTCATGTATCTTTTCTATGCCATCGGAAAAGCTTTCATTCTACAGCTGATTTCCTGGTTCCCCTTCAGGAACTCGAGCTGCGTCGAAGTCGCTTTGGGAACGCCCTTGCGTGACCGCGTTCTGAAGCACGTGTCAAATCAGTCCAATGGAGTAGCGAGACGTCACGAGCGGGGTGACGTAAGCACCAGAAAGTATAAAAGCGCATCCGGCAGAGCGCAAACCAGCTTCTGCTCTTCAGTTGTGTATGTGTCAGTCTATTTACTGTTGTCTGTCCGCACAAGCATATATAAAAAATCATGAAAAAGTCTATGGCGAGCGAACGGCATTACAAACGCTGTGTTCCTCCCTGTTTGTTTTTGGTCCGCCAAAGAAAGGATCTCCGGCGACCAAGCAGACTATGAGTAGGTGGGTGGTCGAGGCCATCTCACTAGCTTACGAGTCCTCTGGCCTCCCGTCACCTATGGACGTCAGAGTGCACTCGACCAGGAGTATGGCGGCCTCCAAGGCTTTCAACTTGGGTGTGGCCTTGCAGGACATTTGTGCTGCGGCGGGCTGGTCCTCTCCGCACACTTTTGTCCGTTTTTACAACCTAGACCTGGCATCTACCCCAGGTTCCCAAGTTCTCTCTTCGTGATGTGCTCGCAAGATACACACACAGGCAGGGACTTAGTAGTATGGTGCAGTGGGTATTCTCGTTCCCAAAGCGACTTCGACGCAGCTCGAGTTCCTGAAGGGGAACGTCTCTAGGTTACGTATGTAACCATGGTTCCCCGAGGGAACGAGACGCTGCGTCTCTTTGCCATACTCCCTGCATCCCTCCAGGCGCTACTTCATCGAAGCTGGTTTGCGCTCTGCCGGATGCGCTTTCATACTTTCTGGTGCTTACGTTACCCTGCTCGTGACGTCTCGCTACTCCATTGGACTGATTTGACACGTGCTTCAGAACGCGGTCACGCAAGGGCGTTCCCAAAGCGACTTCGACGCAGCGTCTCGTTCCCTCGGGGAACCATGGTTACATACGTAACCTAGAGACGTTTTGTTCTATATGCCTTCAAGGCATTTATAGCATTCGTGGGTGTAGTTCACACCTTTTCCTGGTTTCCAAGAAAGGATGGTGAAGCATTTATAATATGGTTCATAAATTGTACTGACCACATGGAATATGGTGTCATAAGAATATGATGTTTTAAAGCCATTGACTGAATCCTCAGAACAAGGCAGATGTCAGACCTGTTAAGATCGGTTCATTGGTTTAATGTAACGTTCCCATCATGGGCTTACAAAAGTATCAAAGAATTTACAACTCAAAGAAATGTTTAACGCAAATAAACCCAAAGATGGGACACTAATAATAAACATATGCTTTCATTTTGAAGGTAAACCTGAGATTGATGCTTCAGTGAATGGTTTTGTTGATAAGGAAGGAGGGATGGTCACTCTCAACTGCTCTGCTCTTGGTTATCCTGCTCCACAGTTCACCTGGACACCTTCTGGCAAAGAGGTGTGTGTATGTGCTTCAAATAAATTAGGTTTGAACTTGATCTTTACATCAGAAAACTCTTTATCATATTTTTGTAATGATATTCATCTGTGTGTTTGTCTGTGTGTAGTCAGTGACAGTAGTGGGGAATAAGGTGATCAGCACGGTCACTCTTGAGGCTTCGGCTGCGGTTCTGAAGGATGGTGTGATTTGTGAAGCATACAACAAGCATGGAAGAGACAGCAAGAACTTCAAGGTGTCCATCAAATCAGGTTAGTGCATCCTATTCTTACAGACTAAGGCTATGTTGGGACTGGAATACTACACTCTAAAAATTACTTAGTTAAAATTATCCCACTGGCAACCCAGCGCTGGGTAAATATCGGGCAGAAAACGTTGGGTTAACTTGCAGTTTTGTAGTTTGGTACATATAAACCAGCAGCAAGGTTTGCACAAAAAGCACCCCAGCATATATAATGTATACTGCTTTCTTTTTTTTTTCAGAACTGTATGTAAATAGGTATGCAGAATGCAGGGATATACATTGCAGCCCAGCGGTTGGGTCAAAACAACCCAATAGCTGGGTTTGTCCCTTTTTAACCCAGCGCTGGGTTATATTTAACCCAGCATTTTTTAGAGTGTACATTGTCACATTACCTCATTACGTTGCATGGTTTATTCAGCCAGTAGCAACCAAATATCTTTGTGTAAAAATGTCTGAATTTTGGCAATAGTAAGTTGAGAAGATTTAAAAAATCATGGATATTGCTTCCAGTTCATTTAATTCACTGAAAACTAATGGTCAAGTGCACAGTGGATTGTGGGGTACCATATCTCATGCAGTGTGCAATAGCTGTATGCTGCACATTTTAGAATATTTAATTGGTCATCCCAACCTTATATATATATATATTAAAGGTCTATTTTGACTATTATATATATATATACAATTATTTATTTATTTATTCATATTTTGGAGGGTGGATTATAGGCAAAGGGTTGTGACATCAATATCTAGAAACACAATGCTCATGAATATTAATTGGTGTGTGCTGATGTTGTTCATGATATTCATGAGCCAAAATACAGCTTGATACTATTTATAAAATGATGACCAGTGCGGATGTGCTTGAGTTGCATAGCCTTGTAGACATTATTTTTAATGTTTTTTTATGTTTTTGAAAGACATCTCTTATGTTCACCAAGGCTGCATATATTTGATAAAAAAAATACAAAATAAACTGTAAAATTGTGAAATATTATTTATTTCAATTTATAATAAGTGAATTATATTTTAATATACTTTAAAATGTAATTTATTCCTACGATGGTAAAGCTGAATTTTCAGCATCCATTTCTCCAGTCTTCAGTGTCACATGATCCTTCAGAAATGCTCAAGAAATATTTCTTATTATCAGTTTTGAAAATGGTTGGAAAAAAAGGTTAATATTAAGATTTTTGTGGAAACCTTTTTTCAGGATTTTTTATGAATATAAATTTAAAGAGAACAGCATTTATTTGAAATAGAAAGTTTTTGTAGTCAATTTAATGCTCATTGCTGAATAAAAGAATCAATTTATTTAAAATAAATACATAAAAATCTACCTGCCCCCAAACTTTTGAACATAGTGTATTTACTCAGATTTACTCAACATATCTCCACAGACACAGATTTACACTCAAAATGTTATCCGCTCACTAATCCTTGTTCTTTTATTTCCTCTGTGCAGATCCAGACAAAGCATCAGATTCCAATGCTGCTAACCAAGGTAGACACTTGTCCCAGCTCTCTCTGCTCCTCCTCTCCCTCTCAGGACTCTTTCTTGTATATACTCCGTGATCTAGCTTTCCAGCCCTTTACACTGTATATTATGTACTGTTACCAAACACTGTGTATATTGTATATTGTATTATGTATGTGATCTTTGTATGATGTCAGTCCTCTATTTTGTTGATGCTACACCTTTAACTTTACCCTCATTTGGGACAATAAAGGATTCTGTTCTATTTTACTTTCCTCTCTTTCCTTCCTCTATGTGTCTGTCTCTTTAATACCGCCGTTCTTTCCTTTCATCCTTGAGCGTGCTGTCAAGTGTTTAGCTTGTGCGGTCACTTTAGCGTGCGTGTGTGTGTGTGTTTGTCTTCATCTTGGTGATGGGCCTCGTTGTGTGTGTATGTGGGTTAATGGTAAAGTGTTTTTTCCTGTGCGCTGTTCAATCGGACTCAACTTTCTCTTTCCCATAATGCTGCTCAAAGGAAACCCTGTCTTCAAAACAGGTCTGTATAAGCCCTGCTCCTTTTCTGTCTTTGCGTGAGAATAAGTGTGTGTGTGTGTCTACGTCTACAGATTTGAAATTGCGTGTATGTTTGTATATAATTTCTCAAACTGTGACCTTATTTATCACTGATTTCTTGGGTCTCGCATTTAATGTCGACAAAAGAACAATTGCTTATTGTTTTGGTTTACTTCCTCCCCACCCTCCTCAACACACCCGTTCCCCCTCTGTGTTCCACTTTCTCTTCCTGTCCCACCCAAACTCATCATTTCTTCACACTCGCCATTAACCTTCCACTTCTCACCAACTCTCTTCTCATTCGATCTTCTCAGCGGAGAAACAGCAGGGAGGTTCGAGCGCGGTCGTGATTGCGGTGGTGGTGTGCGTTCTGCTGCTTCTCCTCCTGGTGGCTCTGCTCTTCTTCCTTAGTAAGAAGGGCAAGCTGAGCTGTGGGAAAAAGGACAAGAAGGATGTGTGAGTAGCAAGAACCATGATAACCAACATTGGCACATCCTGTTCACATTTCCATATATTCTTTATCTGTCACTTTCTCCTTCCAGGGCATCTGGGGAGGTGAAAGGTGGTATTGTGGTGGAGATGAAGTCCAGTGATAAAGGCAATGAAGAGGCTGGTCTGCTAAACAAATCACATGCAGAACAGGTGAGGGATCAAAGGCAGAGTTTAGCATGGTGGTCCTGAACTGGTGTTGATTCAAGAGAACACAGTACCAAAACTGTTTATTGTACAACAATAATGTCCTTAAAATCACAATAAAATTGTCATTCAGTGTAACAGATACATTTATGTAAAAATAAAACAACATACTTATTCTGACCTTGTACTTATTAAAATGAATAAAAGACTAAGTGATCATACTACATTTTTTTGTATTTTAAATGATAAAAACTTCTCTAAACGATAGAAAACGTCTTGCTGAAAAATTTAGATTAGGGGCAAAGATTGGTAAAGATTTAAAATTACAATTAATTAGTTCTTGAAGCCTGCACTATGATCCTTAAATAGACAATAGTTTTTAATCTCAAATATTGTATTACTTTAAGCAGCTAAATGATAGCCAGTAGTGTGCATTCATTAACAACCTTTACACTTTCACAGTGATAAAAAAGAAGAAAAGAGACAAGTAAGAACAAGATCTCCAGAGACGTAGAGGATGGTGGTGGAATTAAGAGTGCTCTGATGGAGGAGAAGAGAGGAGATGGAGGAAAGAGAAGATGAATTCATTTTAGCTGTACAGTTTTCTTTTTTGAAATATTGTGGGAGGGGCTATGATGTTGAACTGAGGGTGGGTTTCTGTTTGGGAGGGGCAATAAATGTAAATCTGGCATTATTTTGATAAGGGTACATACTGTGTCCTGATTGTGTTATCAAGCCAATCTTTGTAGTACAACTCTGTGAAATAGAGCGCGGCTTAATGCAGTGTTCTTGTACCCAAAACAAAGCAGAAAAGTCACTGTGGACACTGGATGTTACGCTTCATGCTGTGCTGCACCCTGGTTATGTCGATTAGTTCATGTTTTTGAATAGTGCAGTACAGCCTCTTTTTGCATTACTGCACTTACTGTGTATATTTTTGATAGTGAACTGCACTCGTGCCATTACCCCGATTAGTCAACCCTACAGACCACTATACGCTTTGACCACGATCTGCATGGAGCATATGGATGTGCCATTATACACACTGTCCAGCTGTACATTCAACGCTGGTAAAATAATCAAGCTGTCATTCATATCAGTCTTCATATGGTCAAATATTCATATTTTTGCCTTAGATATTTTAGACCATGCCTACATGTCCCACACCTATATCTTTTGAGCTAAAACCAAAAGCCAGTGGTGACAGAAAAGAAAGAGAGTGTGTGAGAATCCCATTCAAACCATATATCTGAATGCATGGACCCATTCAGCTCAAGCCTGAGAGTTGTGGAAGAGTTACAGAACTAACTCAATCATCTCATTTCCTCTGAACTGCACTGAATTCCATTCAACAGCCCAAACATGTTCAAAGACTTTCACCTAACTCTGTAATTATTACACATGGGTTAGTAAGGGGACAGGTCAGATCCTTCTTTGTCTTTTAAAATGCCTCATAACGGGATTAAGCATTCACTAGTTTATATAGACTCAACTCCATTATTCTTTTTGGATAATTAAAGTGCTGAGCGTATTTGGAAATTATCTACTTACTGAGCAGAAATCATAACAAACATACTGTCCCAATATACTATTGAGTTTCATCTTTTTCCAACACTATTAATATCACTATGTTTTTCATAATTTATAATGAAACATATCAAATTAAACACCTTCAGCCTTTTCTGCTCTGTGTTAGTTTTGTGAAACCCCAAGACTTTATACTTTAAAGTCATTACTCACACAAAAACAAATTCTGTCATCATTTACTCGTCCTCATTATCGTTTTAAACCTAGATGACTTTCTTTCTTCTGTGGAACACAAAAGAATACATTTCAAACTGTTTTTCTACATAATGAAAGTCAATGGATCCAAAATCAAACTGGATCCCACTGATTTTCAATGTAAAACAGAGTACATTTTGACATCATTTTCATTTTTGGGTGAACTTTCGCTTTAAATTCTGAGAAAAATAAGAAAACATGGTAAAAGTTGAGGGCCAAGGCCAGATGTTTTCCACTGTTGTCACAGAGTGATAGTTTTTGTTATTTATCAATACTGTTATTCATTGCCGCTTTCATTTTGTTTGTTTTTTTAAACCAAAAATATGAGTAAACATGCTGTGTAAAAATGATTTCTTTAAGCTTGTATATGACATTACAGGTTTCTGTGTTTTGCATATATGTATTTTGTATCTTCTTAGTAAAAGCACAGTTGGTCAGGTGGCACAGCTGGAACATTCTAGAATCACTATGTTGCTGGAAAACCCTGTCATTTTCCCCAGGCCCTACTGTTAAACAGATGTGAGCCTTGTTATTTGCTTCAAATAACAGATTCACAATCTGCTGTTCTTTGAGTCGAGTCCTCTGCGTGTCAGAGCAACACCTAGGGACAGTTTTTCAAACATTTACTCAATTTCTGAATATGGCCACAGACATTTAGTATAGATACAGCGTTTCTCTGTACCAACAAAACAGTGATTCTAGACTCTCTAATTAGCAGGTTAGGTACAATTGGATGAGGTTAAAGAGAGGACAGATGAGAAATTAGATGGATAGAGGGTGGGAGAGGGCTTGGCTTGTATATTACATTATAATTTTTTACCTACTGAGTCTTTGTGTGTAGTTGAGAGCAGAGGCGTCATGCCCATTCAAAGTGATTTTTGAGCCAAGTGGATTTTGAATGCAGCTTCCAAAAGACAAAAAATAGCCGAATAATATTTTGTATATTTGATACAATCACACCAGCGTGATTAAATCGTTCAGCGTGTCATATCATCAGCTGCTAAATTCAAATCTGCGTTTCGCTGGCTGGCGCTGAGCCAGAGACAGACGCGTTTTTAAAGCACTGCGCATTATAACTAATCACACACAATGCTGTTGAGCTTATGAATGCAATGGCCAATCAGAGGTGTTCCGATGAGTCATCGCTAAAATGCCGGTGTTTTGTTCACTGGCTTGCTGACAGAATACCTCTTTCTGGCGAATTCTCTCGTTAGAAACAACAAAGTGCAGATGTGTGTATAAATAAGTAAGATATTAATTTCACAGTGTAAACGGCTTTAGTGATTTTAATGGGAGTTTTTGAGAGTGCTTGAACTCTAG